CTTACCAAGATAGATATTCTAATGAGCTATATATCCTGAAAATGTGATCTTAATTTGATGGACTACCTTGTGCTAAGAAGCAAGGCTGTATAAAGTAAAATCTCACTAAATGCTAGCATGTATGCCAAGTGATTACATTTCAGATTTCCTCTTTAAGGAAAAGAATATGTTTAAACAAAGAAGCCTGCAAATTTCAAAAGTGAGGCTAACACTTTTGAACCTAACAACTTGGAGGATTTCTCTATCAGAAAAAGGATACAAAGAGATATTTCCGCAAGTGAAGGGTCTTTAAAATGCCCACATGGGTACCAGGAGAATTTGCTTAAAACTGCTTATAAAGATGGTAGGGAGAATGAGCCCCATCCTATTATTCAATAACCATGTTTGTGATGCATCTGCATAATCTAACCATGCATAAATTAGTATGTGTAATACAACACTTATTTGCATAATAATAGCAAGTTAATAGATGCTTAAAGAGCAGAGACCAACACCACCTTTAAATCAGACATGCCTCCAGGCACTTTGGCCTGTACAGACCGAGATGCCAGAAAAACAGTGGGCATCAACCAGAGGAAAATAGTCAAACCATTCATTTTTCATCCCACTAGACATTTCACTTATTTCCCCCCACACACTGGGGAATCATTTTCAAACCACAAAATAGCTTTATATTTTAAGTGCTAGTACCCTTTAATAATAAAATTCTTAAAGAAATTATAAAGATTAGAGTCAGCAATGGTAGTATAATGGACCATTTGTTTTCTTAGAAATGTGGACAGGAAGGGGCAAAATCTTTAAAAGGAATACGTTCAAAATCACACATAAAATTGGGAGTTTGTCTATCTGCTTAGCAGAAATAATGGCCTAGATTAGATATTTTCACCCTTTGTCTTAATCCTTTAACTCAAATAATTTTAACTGAATCCAAACGCTCAAAGAGTGTATCAAGAAAAGGCTGGGTCTCTGCTCTAACCTCAAGATCTGCACACGGTACTGGGACAGGATAAGGAAAAACATCTCCAATGTCACACAAAGGAAGAGCATGATGATCACTTTTAACCTTTAACAAAGAGGAAAAAAATCTGGAGTTTAAAAAAATCAAAAATCAATAGAGATTTCTAAATGACTCCTTTAAGATATCACTTTTCAATTTAACAGGACAGATTTATTTGTATGTGGCTCAAATGTTCACAATTGCTCCCTGCACCTTCATACATAGGAATGAATGTCACAGTGGCAAACGGCAGTAATGAACAATCTTACCTGAGGATATGGAAACCTCCCAAGAGCAAGCTGGGAAAGGAAATAATATTTGTCTAGTTATAAATTTGCATGCAGGGCAGATCTCCTTAAGACAGACAAGTACTAAATTTGAGAATTGCATTTAGCAAATATAAAAAGCTCACAACCTCGAAAGCACAAACTAAATTATTGTTGTAATTACATTATAAGCTGTATTTAGAATGGACATTTTCAATGGACAATGTTGCATCCCTGATAAAATATTCTGATTTTAATAACTAAACCATTACCCTTATGCGGTTTCTCTTAGGTATATTCTACATGTGTA